GCGGGGGAGGGTTTTGGGGGGGGGGGGTGTGAAGTAATGAGCCTGGACTTGTGCAGAGCGCCCTTCGGTGCCTCAGACGGGGCGAAGCACAGAGGTGGTGTCAGCCGAGCTCATGTCTACGTGCAGAGCCAAACGAAGAGCGCGTCGCATGCAATCAGAGGCGGTGACTGGGACGTGCGAGCGCCAGGAGCAGCCAGGCCTCGGGGAGCAGAGAAGCCCGGCTGGTATGAATGTTCAACGGAACGCAGAGAACACGCTCTGTGAACAACAGCGCTAGGCGCGACGCTGAGCTGCAGATCTCGACAGCTCCAAGCGCAGCGGATCCCCCCCGTACCCGAGTCAGGGCGCAGAGCCACACAGACCAGCGCAGGGCGGATGCCAGCGCATGGCGTTGGGGCTCCCCAAGGTCACCCCCGCTTACAGAAGGACTCCAGAACCCGGTGCTCGAGCCTGGCAGGCAGGCAGAGGACAAGATGGAGTTCAGCCCTTCTGTGTTAGAGAGTGATCTGCCTGCCCACGTATTCCTTTGCCAGTGTTTAAAGCAGCTCGCTCTACTTCCCCCCCTTTCCCCCCCCTCAATCCGGCAGCGGAGCACAAATAGCCGGCGTTACAGAACCCGTGTCAGCTCTCCGAGACAGCAGCGACTGAGAGGCTACATCTACCGGTTAGCTCCTTGTTGCCTTTGAACCATCTGATGGTGGTGGCTGGTCTGCTGGCCATGGCGGTGCAGTTCAGCTCAATCTCTTCTCCCTCGATGGCGATCTCCTTCTGGATATCAATTACCAAATTGCGTGGCGGGACTGCAAGGAGAAAAACACGACACAACACACACGTGGTTAAAAAAAACGGGGTTTTGCTCACCAACACGAGACAAAACCTTCAGGAAACCCCATCAAATCTGCGAGAGGGAAGTAGCCGCCAGCACTTATTGGATCTTGCAATCGATCGAGCCCTTTGATGGCCGGTTTCACAGGAATCGGAGTCAGCACTCTCACTCTCCACCCAATAATCACCGTAGTTTCGCAAATTATTACTTATCAAACGTGCAACTTTCTGTCCCCTCGCCCAGGCCGGCAGCGTGCTGGGAGAGGCTTTCGTCTTCCGTGCCGTGCAGTTGCGCGTGTTGCTATTTAAAGCACGCCTTGACTCCACGCACGTTTCTTGTCTCCTCCTGACGGGGTGCGGGTGGCCGGGGAAGCGCTGCCAGAGAGCCTCCTGCTCCTAGGAGGGCTGGGAAGCGCACGGCAACCCTGCAGGTGTCGACAAACCTAATAGCTGTAGTAGAACCGCTTACAAACAGTATTTAAACAACCTATAAAAAGCTAAGAACCTAAGCTCATTAAAGCAAAGAAGAAAAATTTAAACTCATCAGCGAGCGAGATCTTACCTGAAGTCACCCTCTGCGATTCGGGTTCTCCTGTTAACAGTCTTGAGCGCCGCTGCTCATCGGTAGGAGCGGCTCCGACAGCGCGAGCTGCCGTTACCGGTAACCGCAGCGGTCTCGGCAGGGCTGCGCCGACGGTGGGGGGGGGGACAGACCTAACCCCGGCTCTGCAAACAGCCGCTCCTAAGCACACCAGCAAACTTCCCGCCTCCAATGGGAGGCCGCACCTTCTTTTGGGTGCGGAACACATTTCTGCTAACGTTCCCAGGCAGCTATCGCTTTCCGTCTCACCCGACGCACAAGTCAGCCGACAAGACGCAAGAACTTGCGCATCTTCACGGCGGCAGGAGGTTGGCCAGCGACGCTGTTAGTGGTACTTGCCCTGAGGGATACCATCGATGGGCAAAGGTGCTGCCGTTCGGCATTAACACGCAATCTCTCCAATCCCCAGGTTTTGGAAAGAAAGATGCGGTATGTGATGGGAGTCGTCCCATTATCAAAAGGACAAGATGCATAAACTGAACTGTTCTACCACGCTACGAAGCGTTCACGCTAATTTATTTCCCCTCTGCACATCAGCTAATTACTGAAAGGCATCGTCGACAGCTTTTACGTTCTGGCTGACTTCTTTCTCACTTGACCGATCGAGGCGCAAGCGCTGCAACTCATCGTCCCTCCTTCCCGGGAAACGTGCCTTCTCCCGCAGACACGGGAGGGCGAAGGGCCGCTCCTGCCCGGCTCACGCCGTTCTGCCAAGCCTTGGGCTGGACAAGCGTTCCTTCCCGGACGGCCGCAGGTCCAGGCGTGCCCCAAAGCCAAGCGACTCCCTCGGATGCTCTTACAGGGCAGCGGCC